CTTAAGATTTTCGTTGGTCAATGAGCGCCGGCAAGGAGACAGATGCAAAAAAATAAAATAAAAAGGAGGTTGACATGGATGATTTTCCACCCAGATTTGACACTGATGTCTTGGTTGTCTCTCTCCACTCACACAGCCACCAATGACGCACTCTGGAGCGTTTTTTTTGTATTTTCCATCAAGGTCTTTCAAAGCAGCACTGAGCTCAGACGTAAAGCACGCAACGTGGAAGCCGCACCCACCGCTCTCCGTTTACTGCCAAGGATTGGAACCCGCAACAGGCTCTTAGGGGTGAGATGGCCCCGCCTCCATTTTCAAAGCCACGTTGCGAATTGTGGATTGAGACATTTTCATCCTTGGGAGAAACTCCTCATCGAAGTACAAAGAGGACGCAAAAAGGTTTTCTATTTCCAACCTGGATCCAGGAAGCCCCCTGCGGCATGTTTGTTTTGGGGTTTTTTTTTTCCCATCTTCAATGTTGGACGGGCCGCTATAAAGGCCTGAGATGGACAAGACCGTGTAAATATTTGCACGAGAGAGAAGTGCAATACTAAATGATATCTTCTGTAGATTGTCCACAGAGCGGTGGTGGGCAAAAGCAGGACCGAAAGCCTTGAAAAAGGGGGAGGAAAAAAACACGAGGACGCCCGACTGATGCTTTGACATCCAAAACTTTTGGATCATCATCATCATCATCTTCGAGCGTAATTCGCGCTAATAAGTAACTGAAACGGTGGCGACGCGGCTCAGCTCGGCGCCAACTGACTGTTTGTAAATCTCTCTAGAAGAAACAAACGCAAAGTATTCTACCGCAGGTTTTCACGAATGCAACCTGGTAGACATACTTGGGCGAAACGATTCCCTAGCAAAATGTAGATTACGGTGTCTGGTTCAATGGTTTCTTTTTTTTGGGTTTCCGTCTGTTTTTGTTGGTTGCTTTGTTTAGTTTTTGGTTTTTTTTGTATTATGCTTTTTCAAGAATGGAAACGATGACAACAACAAAGTATTTATATTCATGTTCATCTGACCAATGAAAGTTAGAAGTGCTTCCAGATTTTAGACTCATGGCTGCGCGACGTTCATCCCAACCCGGCTCACGTTCCCTTCTCGCCCCCCCAGATGATGTCATACGTTTGAAACTTGTGATCTTTTGGCATTGTGTGATCCACGCGCCCTCATGTAATTGATGTGCTAACATATTGCATTCTATCAAAGTGCTTTGGACAACACGAGAGTTGAAAGGTGGGAGGAGGATTCAGATTTGTATTTGCAAAAAAACAAAAAAAAAAATTATAACAATGGAGAATATGAAGTCATACTTTTAGGATAAACTGTACCAGGTAGCAGTAGGTTGCCTTTGATTGCTATGTACTAACTGTGTATATACAGTGTGTATGCTGTCCCACTTGTCTGCTGTGAAATGTGTTGAGTACTCAGCTTACAGTATATAAGGGCTTTTTATAGATATTAATGCAGACTGGGTAATCTGATGTCACACACTGTAACTCAAGTCAAATTTCTTTGGAGGGTTTTTTTTTTTTTTTTAAAGGGATATGAAATGAATTTTCATGCATACAAAAATACAATTAAAATGGCGCCAGCCTGTGTGTCCTGTTTGAATAAATCTTTGTGAAATACAGCCGTCATATTGTGTTGCTGCTGCTGCTGTTTATTTATTGATTAATTAACTGATTAATTAATTGATGCACTATGGTGTAGTGCAGGATTTATTTATTATTAATTAACTGATTAATTAATTGATTAATTAATTGATGCACTATGGTGTAGTGCAGGGCAACAAGTCCACATTCCTGCGCAGGTCACGAGACATAATCGCACGCGCTGTACGTTGCATCCACATTGGATAAAAACATCCAAACGGAAGGCGACTTGTCATCAACACCGACGGGGAGCGTTAAACAGGAAGAGGAGGGAGGAGCCAGGCAGCCAAACAGCCCTGTGACATTATTGGTGGTTTTGAAATGAGGCCCTCCCCTAAATGTCGGCCTGCTAACTCGATATCCTTACGGGTTTAGGAGTCATTATGAAACTATGATTTTTTTAAACACAATATAATATGCAAGATGATGTCATGATGACAGCTGACACTGGCGGCAGTGCTCAGGAAGAGATGGAGAAGGTGATGTCATTTAAGGTTGAAGCAAACAAGACTAGAAAAACACACAGAAGCATGCAGGTTTGTTCTCTCACACACGCACATTCGTAGCCTGAGGTATTGGGCTTCAGAAGGGGCATGGAGCCTCTTGATTTGTTCTGACAATCGTGTGGGATTCAACCGGACGTGTTTTCTGTGGCTTATGAGCTAGCGCTGTGTTTTCTAGTGTTTGAGTGTGTTGGGTCACCCACATTGAGAAGACAATAAAATGTGCAGAGGCAAAAGTGTTGTGTCCTCCCCCCGCCAATAGAATAGAATGACATAGAGGAAAATGTTTTTCTCCATTTTTTTTTTCCACCCAGCTCCATTTATATCGCATTAATGTTAATTACAAAAACATCCGCAATATATTAGGAAGGGGTACAATTTGGTCGAGACCTAAAATAAGAGCAACAAGAATCATTTTTTTAATGGAAAATTCTGATTCATTGAATGTTCCGACGCATCACGGTGCATCTCACAAGTCTTGGGTTCAAGGTTTGAGTCTCAGCTCCTGCGGGGAGTTTCAATGACCTCCCTGTGATTACTTTGTGTCCAGAGTACACTGCACCTCTCGGCAAAACTCAGCTGGAATACACTCCCGTTCACCCGCGAGCCTAATGGGGACAACCGCTATTGAAAATTGATGAATTCTCTGACTCGATTGTCCCCAGCACGGCGATAACAGAAGATACCCAATTCCCGTTCTATGCTGACCCAAAAGTAGACGCACAACTAAATTCCTGCCAAGTAGGCCAGTGTGTCCCGCCAAAAAAAAAAAAAATATGCCTCCAAATGTAACAAAAGGGGAGAAATGCCATTTTACCAGCTCACCTTTATGCACCCTTCCAAAGAAGGGATTTTAACAGGCACCTGACAGAGCCAGATAAGACAGGAACTGCCGCACAAAGCCATTGACTACAGACAACACACACAAAGTCGGGAGGAGGAGAATCAGGATGGGGAC